TAGAAGTCATGCCAAACCAAATTTTAAAATTATCTAGTATTGAAGAAGACAATACCAAAAAAATTTTCAGAACTGCATATTTTATAGCGAAGAACCAGAGACCTTTTACAGATATGCCTAAACTTGCAGATCTACATCAAATTAATGGTCTACATATGAGCCGTATCCTTCAAACAAACAAAGCCTGTGGTAATATAATTGACCATATAACCTTACAAATGAGAAAAAAGTTGTGTAGTGAAATCGTTGTAAACAAAGAAAATTCTGTATTGTTGTAGACGAATCTACGACCTTAAGTCATAAAAGAATGCTAGTAATTTGTCTAAGGGCTGCAATAGCTAGTGATGAAGAAGTAATAACATTTTTTTTTTTGATATTGTTGAATTACAACCGCTGAAACAAATGATACTATTATCCTAAATAATTTATCGAAATATGGCTTAACACATGACTATTTAAAACACAACTTGGTAGCATTCGTAAGTGACGTTGCATCAAATATGTTGGGGAGGATTTCAGGAGTTGGTATTAAATTACAAAGATTGTACCCTAATATTATTGTTTGGCATTGTTGCAATCATAGATTAGAGTTGGCGGTGTCCGACACCCTAAAAGAAGTACAAGGAATAAATCATTTTCAACTTTTTATAGAAAAACTCTATACATTATACCATCAATCCCCTAAAAATACAAATGAGTTAAGTTTATGTGCTGCATCATTAGAGGAAAAACTATTGGTAATTGGAAAAATATTTACGATCTGATGGGTTGCTTCTAGCGAACGAACGTTAAAAGCTGTTTGGAATAATTCCTCTGCATTATATGAACATTTTTTAAAAGCATCAAATGACTGCCATAGAGACTCAAAAGAAAAGGCAAAGTACATTGGATTGAAAAGGATTTTGTGTTCAGTTGAGTTTGTGCATAACTTAGGTATGTAACAATGTAGAAATAATAATATTATACACAATTTTTAATTACTGTTTCTATGTATATAGGTGTTATGCATGATGGTTTATCTGAATTGGCTAACTTATCTTTGCAGCTTCAGAATAGAAGTATATCTCTTTGGAATGCCAACACTTGCATTGAGAGTACAATTCGTGTACTTAATTCAATGGCCGATCAACCTGGACCAAGAGCTGAAGAAACTAGTCTCTCATGTGCAAATTTAATTTTTAAAAATGTTCCATTGATAAATTATTGCACTGAGAGATAGGTTGCGCCTGGGTTAAAAATACTCGACCTATCCTGGGAAGAATTTAGGGTTGAGTTTTTAGAAAATTACAACAATTCCGAAATCCAATCCCAATTGCGCGGCGACATCGTGTCAACACGACAAACGTCTAGACCACTGGTTCCCAAACTGGGGGGCACACATTGCTGGGGAGGCGCAAGCAGTTTTTACGAAAGACAATTTTTATTGATTACATTTTTTTTATTTTAAAACGTAGAGAAATAAAATTAGTAGACTGGTTCTCTTTATCCGTTCTCGGGTATCAATAATGGATAACCGATAATGACTATAAATAGTTTTATGCTACGTTATCTGTAAATTAATCGGAACGATAAAAGGATGTTAGGGAAAAGCTATTAGATTAGTTTAAACTTTAAACTCGATTTAGTTTCGTTTTGCAGTCGCATACTGCACGTAGTATCGTAGTACGTAGTCGTCGCGAGTGTACATACGTAAAAATAATGGCTCCACAGAAAATAAGATTGTATAACGACGATTATATAAAGTTTGGTTTCACGTTCATTCAAAAGGATGGTATCCAAATGCCACAGTGTGTTATTTGTCACGTTGTGTTAAGTAACGATGCTCTCCGACCAAGTCGACTAGAACGACATTTAACCACAGCTCATCCGATGCTAAAAGAAAAACCTAAAGAGTTTTTTGTTGCTAAAAAAAATTCTTTAAATAAAATTAAACTTGACAGAACCGGAGAATTTCAACAGAATAATGAAAAAATTATTGAAGCTTCATATCACATCGCCTTTATGGTGGCTCAGCAAAAGAAACCACATACATTGGGTGAAACATTAATTAAGCCTAGCATACTTAAAGTCGTTGAAATAGTACTTGGTGAAGAAAGTAAAAGGAAAGTTTCTCAAATATCTCTTTCAGACAATACAATCAAACGACGCATTGATGAATTAGCTTTGGACATACAAAATCAGTTGATTCATAAATTAAAAAATTCCGTATTCTTTGCAATTCAGTGTGATGAATCAACTGATGTGGCCAATTGTTGTCAGCTATTAGTTTACTGCCGTTTTATAAATGAAAAGACTATTGCAGAAGAGCTTATGTTTTCCCAGGCCTTAAGTTCCACCTCAAAAGGCAGTGACGTTTTGTCTGCCATCGATATATTTTTTGATCAGAATGGCCTCTCTTGGAAAAATGTTGTAGGTGTATGTACAGACGGTGCCCCTGCTATGCTAGGATCACGATCGGGTTTTGTGAAGCTTGCAAAAGATAAAAATCCATCAATAATTGGTTCTCATTGTGTAATACACCGCCAAGCCTTAGCTGCAAAAACGCTGCCATTTGAAATTAAAAATGTACTAGAAGTATGTATAAAAATTGTTAATACCATCAAAAGTAGTGCTCTTAATTCACGTCTTTTTAAGATTCTTTGTTCTGAGCTATCAGCCCAACATTCTGTTTTATTATTCCATACCGAGGTTCGTTGGTTATCCAAAGGAAATATGCTTGAGCGTTTGTACGAATTAAAGTCTGAAGTCGAAATAATGCTTTTACAATTAGGAAAAGACGATCTTCGGGAAAATTTTACTGATGAAAATTTCACATTCTACTTCGCATATCTAGCAGATTTTTTTGAGACTATTAATAACCTAAATCTCAAATTACAAGGGAGGAATATAAACGTAATAATCGCGAACGATGCTATCAACTCATTTCTAGAAAAGATACAACTGTGGAAACGCCGAGTAAACAAAGAGACTCCTAATTTTTCGTCTTTCCGTCGACTGAACGAACTTCTCTCTGATGAAGAAGAACCATTTTGTCCTACTGGATTGAAAGATATAGTGATTAAACATCTCGACAGTTTGACTGATGAATTCACTCGATATTTTCCAAATTTTTCGAACAAAAGTTGGCAATATATGTTAACAAGTTCTCCATTCAGTACTAACGTAGACACATTGCCAGATATAATTCAAGAACAGGCAATCGAGCTGAAGAACGATTCACGGGCGAAAATTGATTTTAACAGTGGTAGCTCTTTGGAAGAATTTTGGGTAAAATACCAACCTATTTATCCTGAAATTTCAAATGAAGCTTTAAAAGTCCTTGTACAATTTTCATCTACATATTTGTGTGAATCTGGGTTCTCCAGCATGGCAGTTATAAAAAACAAACATAGAAATCGTTTAGATGTCGCATCTGACTTAAGGTGTTCATTATCAAATATTGAGCCGAACATAAAAAAACTGTCCAAGGAAAAGTGTTGTCAGCATTAACATTATTTATTAATTTCATTATGTATTTTTTTATTTACCATTATTATTATTATTATTATTATTATTATTATTAACATCTAATTTCATTATGTATTTTTTTATTTACCATTATTATTATTATTATTAACATCAATAAAAAAGTAGTCATTCTGAATAATTTAAAGTTTATTTTTAAAGAACACAAAAAAATATGATCAATTTTTTTTCAATTTAAAAAAGGGGGGGGCGCGAGATTTTTGAAAATATATAAAGGGGGCGTAGAATAGAATAGCTTGGGAACCACTGGTCTAGACAATCGCTAACGGAATTTGTGCTAGTTAAAAACCAGCAAGCGCGCCGCGTAAATACCGGCCTATCCGAGTCGGAATTGGTAGGTATTATAGCAGGATTAACGCGCGATACTTTCCGAACACACATCGGTCTACAACGGCCATTGACGTTCAACGAACTACGACGCATCGCAGGCGTTTTGGACCCGGTAACGGACAGCACCAACCCGACCCGCCAACAATAGGCCCCAAAACCCAAAAAAGGGGCGGATACCCCGCAAACAGCCGCCCCGGTCAAAAAAAATTTTTTTAAAAAATCAACTGATGATCAACCACCGGGGCCGTGCAGGTATTGTGGGGAACTCCACTGGAACAGTAAGTGCCCACACAAACCAACCACGTCGGGAAACGGCGGGGGAGTCGACGGGGACTAGTCCCCCCCATCGACTCAGCACCACCCCCCCCAACCATCACCAACCACTATCGGTAGTACACACGGAAAAAAAACACGTAATCGAAAAGCGCGTAGTTCGGTAATTCAACACACAGAAAAACCAACTACGAAAATTTTTTCCGTCTCACCACCAATCGGCACCCGTTCACAGACCCCCCAACCTACACCACCCCACCACAGAACACACTCACCTCACCGGTGACACGTGTGTTCAACAGCAACCGGCTCATGGGGCAGCCACAGGTGTAGGGACAAAGGCAACAGAGACACGGGTGTTCACCTGCACAGGTGACGGGGATACAAGCACACACACCACGCTTATCCCCGCATTAGGTCAGTCTGCGCGCGTAAAGCAAGAAGCGAGCAACGAGGCAACCGACGTTGACAGTTGGTCATGGCGGTTGACACCGTCGACCAGACAGTTCCCGTCGCGGTTAAGAACCAATTGTCCCGCTCGACCGATTGCACTACGACTAATAATGATACGCGAACACGCCCAGACAAAATTCCGACCCCCGCGGTCGAGCTCGAATTTCCGTCAGGCTTCGTAACAGCTCTATTAGATTCGCAGGCACAAAAATCGTACGTAAACCCGACAGTAGCCCGTAAATACGGCAAAACACTTCCCCACGGACCAACGAACACAGTCCGGATGGCGGACGGTCACACTGCAACAACCAGTGGCACCTCCACATTCGAAGCTAGGATAGGTACGCTCGATATAAAATTCGAAGCTACCATCCTAGACAATTTGTATTGCGACGCGTTACTAGGACACGACTTTCTTGTAACCAATGAAGTCTCTTGGGATTACGCCGCATGCACAATTCACATGGGTAGGCCAATTCGTACGTCGACATGCTGGAAAGGGAAACCACAACCACCCGCCACTCGTCCCGACTTGTCACAATTACAATTTGGAAACGACCCCGAAACTCGCGCGAAACTAACCAAGATTTTAAACAATTACGCGGTAGTATTCAGCGAAAAAGTAGGACGTACCAAACTAATTGAACACGAAATTTTGCTTAAAGACCCGTCCCCAATCGCGCTCAAACCATACCCATATCCTCAGCAAAAACAAACCGCTATCGATGATATGGTGGGCGATATGGAACTCCAGGGGCTCGTAGAACCTAGCACCTCACCGGTAGTATTGGCAAAGAAAAAAAGACGGAACTTTCCGTCTCTGTGTCGACTACAGGCGGCTTAACGACGTAACGGAATCCGACGCGTACCCTATGCCAGATCTCAACAAAATGATTAGGCAAATGAGGGGCGCGAAAATTTTCAGCATTTTTGACCTTAGGTCGGGGTACTGGCAAGTTCCACTACACGAAAATGCGCGAAAATACACGGCTTTCCGGACACGTAGAGGTCTATTTCAGTTCAGAGTCCTCCCCTTCGGTCTAAAAAATAGTCCAATGACTTTCGTGAGACTCATGAACGAGGTCATGAGGGGGTACCAGGATGATTTCGTACAAGTTTACCTAGATGATATTGTAGTATTCTCAAGGGACGAGTACGAACACCAGGCCCACCTAGACAAAGTTCTCGAGCGCCTCAAGAGATTCGGATTAACGTGCAACACAAAAAAATGTAAAATCGGTCTTCGCGAAATTTCATTTTTAGGGCACATAGTAGACTCGGAGTGCATACAAAAACAACCGGAAAAATTGGTATGCATCGATAATTTTCCGGTTCCCAAAAAAGTTAGGGACGTACGTAAATTTTTGGGCGTGTGCAATTGGTAAAACCAGTTCGTAGATAATTACGCGGATACCATAGCACCCCTCACAAATTTATTAAAACAGGGGGTTCGGTGGAAATGGACAGATGTAGAACAACGCGCGTTCGAATCAATAAAAAACGCGCTAGTCACATCGCCGAAATTGTCCCCACCCGATTACAGCAAAACGTTTTGTCTCCAAACTGATGCAAGCGAGATAGGAGCTGGCGCGGTACTCTTCCAACGGGGTGACAGACCGGAGGAAAGACGCATCATATCCTACGCAAGCAAAAAGTTTAGCGAGACACAGACGAGGTACGCCGCGGTAGAACGCGAGTGCCTAGCAGTAATTTGGGCAACGGACAAATTTCGACCATACCTAGAAACCCGACGTTTCGAACTCCTGACAGACAACTCGGCACTAACATGGTTACACAGGGCTAAAGACAAAAATTCAAAATTAACACGTTGGTCACTACAACTAGCTAATTTAGATTTTAGTACGGTACACGTCCCGGGAATACAAAACGAAGCACCCGATTTGTTATCCCGCGACCCGGCACCGGGCACACCCGTAGACGAAGATCGACTCGAGGAAAAATTGGTAGGGGCACCTGTAACGCCGACAACTAATGTTGACCCCGGGTCGGATCGTATCTTTTCCATGTTCGATAACCACGTCAGTGACGACACACCACTCACCGCGTCGACGCTCGAAAAGTGGCAGTCCGAAGACACCGCGATCCGCGACATAGTCGCCGGTCATAAGTGGGACGGACCAACGCGAAACACTAGGAGCACAAAATCGGGAACAAACACATATTTTCTCTCCGACGGTCTCTTACGCGTAAACGTAGGCCCCCACACACCCATCGTGATACCGAAAACAAAAATACAACACGTAATTTGGAGGGAATGCAAGAGACCCGGGGATTGGGCGCTACCTAAAATTGCACCGGTAAATATCAAAAAATCACAGGAAGAGAGGGTAGAGCGGGAAAAACGCATTATAGGCAAAAAGGTAGTGGTAAAGCCGAGCACGAACACCGGCACACCGGTGAAGTTCGGCAAGGGCGACGTAGTCTACTACAAAGCACATAAAGATTTTCATGCCAGGTTCGCACCAAAGTGGTGGGGACCGGTAAGGCTAGCGAAGCAGGTCGGTAAAGGAGTCTTTCTAACCGACCAACAACCGCCGCGGAAAATACATGTGTCTTGTCTAAAACGCTCGCCCACAGGTCAAAATAAATAAACATTTGTCTGTACTAACCACCATTTACAGACAATATGGCCGACCGACAGCAGCAGGAGAAGTGGCAGCAGGTGGCCACACTGATCCAGCAGCTGGGGCTGGTGTCCGGAGGCCAGGACGAGCCGCGTACCGCCGCCCAGGTCGCAAGGATGTCGACCCGCCAGCTGCTCCAGGACCCAGTGCGGGCGGCCATCTACTAGCGGGGCTGGGCGGACCGCACAGCGGACATCGAGCGGAGGCTGCGTCCGCGCGGAACGACCTCGACGCCAAGTAGCCGCACCTCGTCGTTGACAAGGCCACCACCACCGGGAACCACCCCTACCCCCGTGGCACCCGCACCCGTAACACCTGCGGAGCCGACAACGGTACCCGGGACAACGGGGGTACCCCCCGTACCGACGGTGAAGGTTAAAACGGAGGCGCAGCGGGCACGGAACAAAAAGAAGTTCCAGCAACTGAAGGCGAAGAGGATGGCCAGGGAAAGCAAGGCAAGCCAACAACATCGGCTTGCCAAGCAACCTGCACCAGCCTCGGACCCGGAAGGGGCCAGCACGCTCCCGTTCGACCCAACACACCGTCGGCAGCAATGGAGGTAGACCCTCCGGCGACCAAGGACGAAAAATCCAAGGAGCCGGAGCAATCTACCTGCCAGGCACCGCCAAACCAATCAGAGCCCTCGTCCGAGATAACCGAGGAAGATAGGTTGGGGGCGTTCGAGGGGCTACCGGAGTTGGAGTACTCACACACGTACTACACTCCTGTAGGGTCCCCGGACCACCACTAAATACACCCACGGGCGTGGGAAAGTCTACCTCAAGCGTAAGCCAGAGGTAGTACAAGCCACCCCGTCCGAATGACTACACGCTGACACTGGTACAAGTGAACCCCGTGTGGCGGTTTGGCGGGGGAGTATGACGCGGTACGCAGCGGCCACCAGTACAAAGTACAGGTACCGCAGCTTCCCGTCTACACTTTTGGTCAACCACCACCACGGACTACTGCGCGACAGCACCAACTCTCCCACCGCGCCTAAAAGGCACAAGGTGGGACGGGAAGGCAAGTCGCGCAAAACGGGTACTGGCCGCCGGCGGCGTCTCTCTCGACCGCCAACGGTTCATACTTACACACGTGTCCGTTTTTTCTGTCTTTGTGTAAAAATTGTAAGATATCAGTACATCGCGTATTGATCCTACCACGCCGTATATAAAACAGCCGTCCACGATACCGTCGAATATTGGTTTGTGTATTACCACGTTTGTTGCTGTCATATAGTACCAGTAAAAATAAAAACATACT